TTGTAAATATATACGGTAATGTTGAGCATTTACGTTTGTATGTAATTTGCAGATAGCTATTTTACGAGGTTTATCCTATATATTTACATAATACATATATTTAGCGTTTACAAATTAGCTCCCATCTGTACACATTATGTTAAGTACTTCTCCAGTTTCGTGACCGAGTGAGCGGTACGCACGAATTATGCCCACGCATATATTGAAGACAGAAAGGATCAACATTTAATTTATAATTTGATAGAATGGTGATTTTAGATAACTTTGTGCTAAAATCGCTATTTAATTAATATTTTTTGTATACAAACGTTACAATTGGTATAATATGGCTTGTATCCACTCTGAAGATAAATTCTAAATATTAGCAAATTTTTTTTTAAATCGGATAAGCTTACAAATCTAAATTAGCACAGATTTCTTAAAGACACAAAAATTTACTACATATAATACGTAAGAATATAGTGTGAATTCCTAATATATTTACATTAACTTTTTCCAAAACCACATTCATTAACTATATGGATGCTTTAAAGATTAGTATTTGTTAAAGGGAAAGCGTCTCTCTACATAACTAATTCAGACGCACAATCCAGCTCATAAGTAGCACAGCATTGGAAAACTCATCGCTTAGAACAAGTAAATAAATGTTGAAAACGTTAAAATAAAATATCGGTACAAAGTACGACGCCGCGCTCCTGAAATCGGTTTCACTTCGCAAAGTAAAAATTCTCATTACGTTTGCGAGCGGGTTCTCTAAACATTCCAGTATACTAATACCTGCTCGATGTGTTTGTTTTCAATTTCCTTCAAAAATTATTGCCGTCTGTTTGTATGCACCGGCGGGCCCGAAGCCCGCCCGACTCCGCCTCTCGAGCAAACATCGCACCGAATTTCGGTCTTGTTAGGTTGAATTTTGAAATTTATTATTAACTTCAGTCGATAGCGACATACACGCAGCGAGTGCGTATTTTAATATTTATTAAACTTTATTTACGGTTCCCTTGAGATTTGGTTAGTTTGAAACTTTCTAAATTTTGAGTGTTTCGGTTAATTGTGATTGTTTATAAGACTTAATCCATACTAATATTATAAATGTGAAAGTTTGTTTGTTTGTTTATCCTTCTTTCATGTTGAAACAGACTGACGGCTTGACGCGATTTTTTGTGTGGAGATAGAGTGCTGGAGAGTAGCATAAGCTACTTTTTACTGCAAGAGATTACTTAATTTCCACGGGGAAATATGTTCAAATATAACCCAAAAATTATTTAAGATCAAAATTACTCGAAACTTCGTATGAATATTCTTCAATACAATGAAATAAATATAAAAATAAATAAAAAAATAAATAAAAAAAATGTTTAAAATGTTTAAATGTTCAAGCATTTTTCGAATTTCATTCCATAAGGGGGTAAAATAGGAGATAAAAGTTTGTATAGAATCTACTTTATTAGAGTTTTTTTGTAGTTTTAGCACGAGCGAAGCCGCGGGTTCTGCTAGTCTATACTAATATTATAAAGAGGTAAAGTTTGTGAGCTATCTCTGGATTTATTGAACCGATTTAAATGAAATTTGGTAAGAAGATAGTTTGGGGCATATTTTTTATCCCGGAAATCACCTCTTAAGGGGGTGAAAATGGGGATAAAAGTTTGTATTGGGAAGCAAGCTAGTTGTATATAAAATTGTAATGATTAAATAATATTATTAAAAAAAAGCGTATGTGTAATTCCTTGAAGACTTATAATCTCTAGCCGTATACGGGGGCATCAACGAGGCATTAAGGTACAACATTATATATCCAAATGTATTTTGGAAAAGAAATAGAGATAGTTGAGAGAGGAAATATTTTTTCATTTAAATACTACGAATAATTTGCTACCACAGTAAAATTTTTGATATTATGAACAGATCAATTCCCTCTATTAATAGTCAAGTTCAATCTACATAATATTATGAAATATATAAACATACATCAAACATTTTTCTTTGACTTACAAAATTTATTACTAGGAAAAATTATATGAAACAATATTGCTACCTTTTTAAATGAAATTCTTCAGTTATCATACGTGCATTCTTGATGCTAATATCGTCTTCAGAGTAAAGTCAATAACCTAAGGAATCTCCTCCAGAAGTTGAAGTGGCCTGTATTGATGTAGAGTGGTTAAGAGCTTTGTAAGGTATTTGCATAAATGTATTGCGTTGTTACAGCCATAGTGTTTGCATGTATAGAATATATTTTGTATGTACAGAATATTGTAGCTAGAATAATACTAAATTAACATTTTAAGTTTTAACTACTGTGGATTGTTTTAATATACAAAATTCAAGTAAATCAATTCTCTTTTAGTATAGAAGCCTGACTACTTAATTATTTTTCAGTGAAATTTCATATTATTTTATATAATTGTTTTAACCAAAATGGTAAACCGATTTCTTATCTATATAAAAGTAATTTTTCCGTCATAATGTATGTATTATACAGATAGATATTTTTCATACAAATTCAGAGTTTTCTTGAGGTATATAGTTACACATTCAATACAAAATAAAATTCTTATAAAATTGACAAAGTATATGCAAGTCTACATAAGGAACAACATTCAATTTCATTGTTTATACAGTTTTTTTGTTGTTTTCATTTTATCAAAGAATGATACTTAATATTTATTACATTAGAGGAAAATATTTATATAAAAAACCTTGTTGCGAACTTACGACTATCTGACTAATCTGTAGAGTTTCATCCACTTTGAGAAATCCTGTTGTAAAGCTTTTAAAAACTTTCTGGAGCTTTAAGTTTAAATTGTGAAGTATTATTTTTAACGTTTTTATGTGACTCTTTTGCCGTTTTTTTATGTGTACCTTATCCTTTATTAAACACACAAAAAGTACACTCGAATTAAGTACTTTCTTTTTTTAAGTCGGTTAAAATAAATAATGTTTACTGCTCCGATCATATTTTCCAAAGTGTAAGTTGCTGATATCAATTCCGTCGCACCAACGCCCATGAGACGGCTAAACGGCTAAACGAGATCAAACGGCTGATATTAAAAACCTTTTCGTAAGTTGCGGCCCTCTCAGGCGAGAAATTAAAGGTTCGCCCGAAGGTTAGTTTTTCGAGTGATTTCGTCATGTGACTGATGGACCATTTCTCTTCACATTCGTTTACGTAAATATCGAACGGTCGAATGGTCACTAACGACAAAATGTGAGAAAATAATTCAATATTCAACAAACATTACTTATATTTCGCATTATCTCATTCTTGTCGTCGCGTTAAAATTTAGCCCACTACTAGAAAAATAGGTCATGATCTTTAAAAAATAAACGTGACCTAGTAACCCTTGTACTTAAGTTATAAATATTTAGCTGACGCCCTTAAAACGTGACTTGATTCGCTATGAAATAATATATTACTTTATCTCCTATTTTGTACACCGCCCTGATAGGGTTCTTCAACATTTTATTTTAAATGCCATAGAGTTTACTAAGTAGTCATTTTAAGTGGTTTATAAAAATAAATCACATTTAACTATAATGAATGAAGCAAAATATAATGCAATGCAATACGACGACGAAGATAAATTTCATAACGACATGGAATGGGAGCATAATGTATCTAAGTCAAACTTAAGGGCAGATGTAGTTGGGAAGCGAATCTCGACCGAGACATTAAGAGGGGTTCTTGATTAATCTGGCGGATCCTGGCGAGCCTTAATTAAAATGGGATTATCTTAAGGCTGCAGAGGCTTCGCCGGTAAGAAGCTATCTGCAGGCTTCCTTGTACCTAATTTTTTCCTATCGCACTCCGCCCGGCTAATGAGTGTTCCGATAAAAAGAACTAGATTTCCGCTTAATTTGCGCCGACTATTTATGTGGTGGAAAAAATATATAAATTTGTTCAGCTTTTAATTTCACCCAAGAGCAATAATTTGCTTTATAAATATATTATATGATGCTTTGCTAGCGTTTACTAGGAGTGGTTGCCGCATGATCTTCAGATAGCGTTCCGACTGATAAATGCATTATACACCATATATTTTTAGAAGGAACTTTACACTTATTTATTATCGAATAATAAAATAAATAAAATATAGATCGAATAATAAAATAAATAAATAATAAAATATACCTTAAAATACTGACATATTTTAAGGTGAATTGACCACATAAGCAATAAAGCTGCATTTTTCAATATGAAAATAAATAAATAGACAAATCATTATAATGTACATTTATCATGGAAAGTCTTCAAAAAATACGTACAAATGCGATATTCAGAAGCAAACTGCCAAATAACAGAGAAGTGAGATCAGAGCGTACAGAATGATTATTAGACACTCTATTTTCCGCGACACCAATTGAATCCTTAAGAAGACAAATGTAAGCGTCGTTTTTCGAGGTCTCGAGTTGCAAATCCTTTATTGCGGTCACAGCAATCATAACGTCGGCTCGAGGCCGGCGTCAAATCTTGCGAGCGTTTCGGCCACTTATTCTTTACTTTACTTTATCCGGGCCTAATGTTTTTCCCAACAATTCGGCGGATAAGCGCCGCCACTTACTGGGCCGTTGGTTCCCGCGGGACACAGTCTTAAATCGCAAATTGAGTTTCGCTTAGTGACTCGGAGAACGAGTCGTGAGATCGCCCCATATATTTTTATGGTGTGAAATTTTTGCTGTTTCATTAAATTGGTGATGAATGTAGGTCGAAGTTTCTTACTGCGAATTCATCAAAATTCTAATATTTCAGTATCAGGCATATTTATCTGACAAACTCAACATCTCATACCAATATTTATGGCTTAAACTACACGTCTATAACGTATTAATAACCTTTTTGTATTATGTTGATAAGGATCTAGAAGATATTTTGGTATATATTTACCCTCAATTTTTTCGGCCACATTTAAGTTTGTGTAATTTATTCATTGTTTTAAAACGGTAACACGTTTATTAAAATTGAACAAAGACTTTGCCACACGAAATTGTGACATAAATACCTGTTCTCTTCTCAGGATCAGGGAACAGCAGGTCGTCTAGCCTGGCGGGCGCCGAGCGACCCTTGCTGTTGACGGCCACGGCCACCAGTCTGAAGCGCACCTCCCACTCGAGCCCGCGCACCGTCCACACTGGCTCGTCTGACGTGAGGTTCACTCTGAACACACATTATAATAATTAATATTAAAGTAAAAAAAATATACAACGTTATTTCTTAGACTGCGGAGAGAGATAAATACCTCTTTTTAACGCTATATATAAAGGAGTTCTCGTGCGATATTACTTACAAAAACTCAATCAAATCAATAAAATGATATGAAATAAAATTTTATTCAAATAGACTTAATACTTAAACCCTTTGTAAATTAGTAATAACTATTGACAGATATAATAAAAAATATATTAAACATGTCGTATTTTATATTCATTTAATAAACAAAAAGATTCTCCTATAACACCTGTCGTTTTCCAACTTTATGGTGATATGTTCATTTCGTAATTTTCCAACATTGGGGTGCACTAATGGGGCGAATTACATCGCAAACTTTTGTTTACGTCTAACATTTGTAATTTGAGGGGTCGCTTTGTACATTTGGACGGAATGGGCGAGAGATCTCCTGAGATTCCATCCGACGGTAATGTGGGGATAATATACATATTGGCTTTGTCTCGTGTCTTTGCTCATTGTGATTGTCTACTGAATACCATAGTACAATATCTTATACTAATTAATTTAGTCTACAATCAATAAAAATATGTTAGCTCAGCTATTAAACGGATATTGATAGTTGGTCAGCTGTAGAACTTAGAGCGAATTTCTTTTACAACAATTAAATTATTTATTAGTAGGTACCTAACGTCAATATAAAAGTTAAGTGTGAGTCGAATTCGTATACGAAGGGTTCCATCGTACATGTACTTTTTATTAATATGATTTTTACTCTATGTATGTAATATACTAACTTCGATGATCGATTACGAACGTTAAAAAAAAGTTTCTTGTATTTTTATTTATTATATTATTTGTTGTTATAGAGGCAATAGAAATACACACTCTGTGAAAATTTCAACTTTCTACCTATTACGGTTCATGAGATACGGCCCTTTGACAGATGGACGGATGACGGACGGATCGACAGCAGAGGTATAATAATAGGGTTCCGCTGGCACCCTTTGGGAAACTCTAAAAGCCTGAAATATGGAAGATGTAAATTTTAGCATGTTGCGTGTGACATAGGACTGTCATAGAAGAAATAAAACCAGTCAGTCAATAGATTAAATTAAAGGTAAAGACTTAGTAAACATTTTTTTAATTTCTAAATTATTAAATTACTTATGAATAAATTATAATATATTACTTATGAATAAAATATAATATAAAATATGAATATTTTGATAAGTTTCTTTCTGAATATAAATTCGATAGAAAGTCCACAATATGATACTATTTGTTCTACACCCACAGAATTACAGTGATTCAACTAATTGCCTTATGTGTTTTAACTATCCAGTTAATTAGATAAAAGTTGGCTTTTCGCACTGCGGGGGTAATTTTAAAAAAAGTATAACTCATTAGCGGTATACTGCCCCCTTGTGAGCTTTTATTTTATAACCCTCCCTCCCTCACAAATCTCTTTCCTTTTTTATTATTTAAATGAAATAATTTAAGTACTCAAGAACTTATTAACTAGTGTTGATATAAAAATATTTTTCGTTATTATCTGATAGTAAAGAAAGTGGACAAAATCTATATATTATATATATATATATAAAATTCAATATCCTCACTGACTGATATTGGTCAGACATCAGCTGTTGTTCCTCGAGACATGAAATTTGGATGAACTGAATGATTTGAAATGAACACATCCTGTATTCTTTGTGAAGTGTATGTATCCACTAAGAAAGAGTATTTTTCAAAATCCACCCCTAAGATGGTGAAATGGGGGGTTGAATTTTCTGTGAAACTTTTTATTCTATGAGTCGATTGACTCAATAAGTGGTACACATACTCTTCAATTAAAATTATGAGACACGTGTATCACAGTTATTCCAAAATCATCCCGCAATAGAGTCAAATAAATTTATAAAATTTTATTTTTACTTACTTTTAAAGATCGAAAAGTACACAAAAGTAACCAAACATAAGCAGGCAGCAAACATCCTTTATCAAGAGTTAGTTGGAAATTTCCATACAATACGAGGTACGGGGCGTTTAAACGACGCTCGTTACAGTTCTTCCGATGGAAGTAAAATACACCCATCATTTATTGTTGTTCTAAACGTTATAGCGCATATAAAACGCTCTTCGATCGCCAATTCCATTGCATTATTCCTTTACGAGAGTAAATAAAGTGGTATTTGCAACAACTCATTATTAGGTCACGTTAGTATCTATTGTTCTACAATCTACAGGATGCTGGAGCTGGTAATAAGTAAATAAATGCTTACAGTCCAGTGTTCTTGAAATCTGAGTTAAATTTACGGAATGGTTTTGTCTGTGTGTCTGTCTGTCTGTTTATCCCGGATAATCTCCGAAATGCCTGGACTTTTATCGGCAGATTACTGATGTTATAAGGAGTAACTTAGGCTAATTTTATTTTACAAAAAGAATCAGAATTCCGCGCAAATCAATTAAGCCCCATGAAATTGTGTAAAAATCTGCGTACCTAAGGACGCACTCGAGCGAAACGAGGATAAGTCGTTGGTTATATTATAAATTAAATATGCCAAATTGGTACATACATATAGTATACTAGCAGACCTGGCCACGCGTTGCTGTGGTACACATGCGAAAGTCGTTCATTTTGTAATAAAAAAACGAAATAATCAGGATAAAAACTATCCTCAAAAGAGGAACTATCCTCAATAGAAGAACTTAAAATATTAAGTTGGAACAAATGACACATTTTGAATATAAACTACGCTAAGATCGGAGAAGTAGTTCGGAGTTTATCCCGGACCAACATTGTGACACGGGAATTTTATATATGAAGATTTTTGAATAACATTGCAATAAACATTAGACGGCGTAAACGTTATTACATTTACACCGTTACTGAATTCTTCTTCATAAAAATCTTTTTATTCACTGACCTTTATATAACGAAGGTGAACACTAGGGAAGAATATTTGAAAAGTAACACTAAAGGGACAAAAGTTTGTATTAAAATTTGCCATTTTTGAAGTTAGAAATATGGAAGTTGACATTTAAGCCTCTATTTTTTTACCGACGGGAATCCCATCATGTTGGCACACTGTTTATATCATATATTTCTTCATCGCTGGACCAAAAATCTAAATTGTTATTCAAAAAGTTACTTATAAATGCGCACAACTAATACATAATTATTATAAAAAAAGCCACACATTAATTAAAATAACAATATAGAGCCATTATACTATGTACTCGTATATGAGTAAGATAACAGTCATTTTCCTCCATTCCCCAGTAATCTGTTCACATAATCCGCAACAGACATAAAGAGAAGGATCTTCTTGATACCGTCCACTAATATTTAAGGAACTGCAGATATAATATAACAGTACCCTTGTTAGTATCGTGTTTCAATGGAAGATTATAATATACTAGCGACTCACTCTCGCTTCGCTCGGTTTTGTCCATGGGTAAGTTTTGACGCTCACTTGAGCAATGATTTATTCCCTATACAAACTTGCACCGCCCTTTTCACCTCCTTATTAAGGGATTTTTAAGGTATTTATAATATTAGTATGGAGTATGGATAACATAAGCTATCCTAACCTAAAGTAGCACTGATGTGTTAAGTACATCACTAGTGTTAGCTACTTAGTATATTTATCCTAAAGGTTTATAATAGATAACATTCATTTCATAAGCGTCATAGTTCATATGCGTCTTGAAATTACGGGAAATAAGCAGAAAGAAAGGCAAAGAAAAGACATTCCATATGAAAAACTAAATTATTATATACATATACAAATGAATAGGCATTTTCATAAATATATATTATAAATAAGTAAAATTATTTCCCTAGTACTTGGAGAGAACAGAGTGTGAGTGCTAGCTAGAGCTACTTGTTTGATTTCATTATTTAATAACAAGCGGCTCACCCTCGTTTCACTCGGGTTGGCGTCTACAAAAAACAAATCTATCCCATGGGAACCGCACATTTATCTATCTTTATCTCTGTGCCAAATTTCATCAAAATCCGTTAAGCCGTTATGGCGTAAAAGAGTAACAAACATCCAAACATCTAAACTTTCACATTTATAAAATTAGTAAGATTATTATAATAGTTCAATATATACAATTGTATAAATCACATCATGTACTTGCACTGAAAATAGACAGTATCTTTCAAGTAAGCATAAATTTAAACATTAAATACCACGATTTCTTACCACTATATATTTACACGTTAAAAGTACGTTCTAGTTTATATCTAATACATCTCATTTAATGGAATATTTAAGTTTAAGCGCCAGGCTTTAACTCCGAAGACTGTTCCAACTTCTTAGTTTCAAAGTCTTGTATTCTATGAAAATCGAGCTATTTCCCTACAACGTTAAGTCAAATAGCACTAGTCGGTGTAAATCTTAAAGCGCTTTATAAGAATCTACTCTGTGAAGAGGATTAAAAATGTATCAAGCAGACAAGGCGGGCTTGACCCCGACAATTTATAGTTGAATTTTTACAGGCGGGAGTTGCGATGTGGAACCTCGTTAGCTGCCATTGTCTTTCTTTTTATAAATATCTAATTATAGTTCATTTTCAATTGTCAACACACTGTTGTACTCTCCTTAGAGAAAAATGGTTGCATGAATTAGAAAAATGTAATCTATAAACTAACACATCTACTAGCACTAGTAAGTTGGCTATTGTGTATAAAAGAAATAAATTACGAAGATTGAAGTAAGGAAAATATTTTCCGTATAAAATTTACTGTTTCACCCCGCTACCCTTAGGGGTTACATTTAAAAAAATCTTAATATGTTAACCATATCGCTTGTGGAAGAAGCTGTTAAATTTTTCGGCCAGCATTGTACTCTAAGGCTAGCGGCTTGGTCTGGGTTATGGGCATTTGTACAAGTACATCACTTAACGATATCATAATGGTCTAAACAACGTCAAGGTTACTAAATATTTGTACAAAAATATGTTGAGCAAATTTTAATTTGAAAGAGAAAGGAATTGTTCGTTGAATTTACAATAGGTATTTATTTTATGTGTATACCTTATTTTTATTTGAGAATCTCGTGAAAACAGCAGCTTATATCAGAATATTTCAATTTAGTAGGCGTTATATTTTGTCTACGTGACTCATAAATTTAATAAATTAAATTGTTAAGCTTTAAAAATAACCTTCTCTCCTTTTTAAAACTTTAATTACACCTTTAGTTCAAAGAGATATTAAATAAATAAATAAATATTGGGACATTAACACACAACACCATCTAGTTCCATGGTATGCTACGAGGTTTGTGTTATGGATACCAGATAGTTGATACATAGATATTATAAATATAAACACCCATGACTAGAGATAAACATTTATGGTCATCACATTAATAAATGTCCCCAGCTGGACTCGAACCCGCTACCACTGGCACAGCAGGTAGGGACACTACAAACTGAGGCAAACGTGTCATCAATCAACATATACTCAAGAAATATAAATGCTGATAATAATTAAAGCAAAGTCATATAATAGTTTTAGTAACACATAGATATATATTGGTCTGAAAACAAAGCCTTCAGAGAGTAGATGTTGATCTTCCTAAGTTAGAATTAAACAGGCTATTCTAAGAGCTTTCGGCAGTTTCTTTGCAATTCTAAACTTAAATCTATTTAACTCCCATTTATAGTAAGTACTGTCAGTTCTAAATGTAAGCTATAATAGTACAAATAATATCGTTAGAAGATTCCTACTTGTATTTGTATGTACAGTTACTCTTAATTTTTAAATTTTAAAGCCAATGCAGGCAGCTTTTTGCATCACTGCCAAGTATTTAAAATCGATTTAGCAGTTAATAATACATTTTATAGTAGGTACTATATTATGAAACATCCATAGAATACACGGACCAACATCCAGACCGCGACAAAATTGTTTAAATCTAATAACTAATTATCCAAGCTGGGGTCAAACCCACGTCTTCTAGTATAACAATAGGTATACCGACCACTACGCCATTTGGTTATAAAATATTGTATATTTAGGAATTTTTATAAGAACCCATCGCAAAGAGGATTAAAAATGTATCAGGGAGGCCTTGCCCGGGAATTTATAGCTGAATTTTTACAAGAGATAGGCCCGGGATCAGAAACCTCGTTAGCGTCCATTGTCCGCCTCTATTGTCGCATCCTGAATTAGAAACCCTTTCACGTCATTACTCTCAACTGTATTATACTTGGAAATGCATTTTATAGCGTTATTAACGATTTATGTTTCTTAGAAAAATTAAGAATTTAATAAAAAAAAATTATCGTACTCTTTATTATATTAATAAATATGTAAAAGTAAATTTCGTAGCGAAATAACTTAAAAAATTAGTTTTTTTGTAAATTTAAATTAAAACACTAAAAAAATGTACTGCAGTGGCCGCATGTTCAGCTTCTGCCCTGAAATCTGAATATTTCACTTGATATATGTATGTATATACTTGTATATACTCGTATAACTCTTAAAATTTTATAGTCACTGATAATATTACTGTGATGAAAAACGGGATATTTACCATGTTTAGCACTTATTTTTGACGGTTCCCGATATATCGGCTGTTACAAGCGCCATGGCCACGGGTATACAGGGTAAGTTTGCCACAATCTAAACAATTTTTTTTCTGCTTATCTAAATATTCACTATTACGTTGTTTTGCTTTGCCCATATAATTTGTCTATTAAAATAGTAATGTAGCTTAAGATGGAATAGTTTAGTGTTATGAAATAGAATTAAAAAGAGAGAGAGAGAGAGAGTTAGTTATTAAATATTCTCTTTGTATCATTAAAACACAAAAATACGCGTACGAGTTATCGTCCTTATAACACAAAACAATATTATTATACAATGCTAATATAAATGTAAATTAACACCACAGATTATAATTTTATTACTATGCAATAAAGCAGCAGTATATTGTTATCGTATCGTGTAAATGGTAGTCGTGTAGCTATCGTATCTTGTAAATATATAAGTGACAGTTTCAGCATTTCATAGCAATATACTACGTATCCTGTAAATAGTTGCAGTCGTATAGCTGTCGTATCTTACGAATAGATGAAACATACGTAAAATATTTTAAAGCCGAGTGCTGCTGGTTATAGTGCGTTCCTGTCGCATCGTGCCCGTGTCGTGTCCGGATCGCGGTAATTCGCTGCTGTTAATGCGTAATGAGGGCACTTCCGAGTGTAACGAGCTCATGCATTTCGCGTTAATTGTAAAATATCATTTAAAAGGTCATTTTTCATAAAAATCTATTTATTAGTTTCATATTAAATCTATACATATAATAAAACTGTAACTGATCAGTGATCCCTGTCTGTACATGTACGATATTTAAAAAAAACTATTATTGGGGGTCTTTATTAACACAATAGAACCCAAAACAATGATTTTTAGAAATTTTGTTTGTTTGTCTGTACGTTTGTGCGCGCTAATCACAAAAACGGCTTAACTGTTTTGAGTGCGGGTTTCACTAATATATATATACTGTGGTAAGCTACACTTAACATTTAGTAGGTATTTGTTTTATTTCAATTGGTTCATAAATAAAAAACTTATGGAAAATTAAAGAATCGCCTAAGGACGAACCAGAGCGAAGCGAGGGTGAGTCGCTAATTTTATATAAAAATACATAAATTTAGGTATAAATTTACACAAAAAATAATTACCGAGCATATTTATGGTCACTTAAATAGTAATCCCAAAAAAATATGACTAAAATCAAAATCTCAATATTTTGCAAACAAAATGTAGAATATAAATATACATAAATGAATTATTGAATCTGTGACATTCTTTTGCGAACAGATACGATGCCACTGTGCCACTGCGCTAAGCGTTCGTCGTATAACGATGCTCTCAATTAGCTCGGTTTGGATGAGAGCGTGTAATTAAAACCCTCTTTCCGCGGTACATTTTGCTGGAGTTTATGAAAATATATTCGAATTAGAAAAAATATTTTTACAGGTTTTTATTTTATTTTATTTTATGTGGCTCTTTTGTACAGAATGAGTCTTCCTACAATTAGACTTTAACATTCATTTATTAAAATAATTATAATACGTAGAAATAAATTATTATACCTAAAAATTTATTGCTAAGTAAATTATTTAATTATATCTGATTACTTTGGAAAATCTTTTGTAAAAATATATTACAAAAATTGTTGTTGTAAATAAGTAGATTAATTATAAAAATAAAAAATACCGACTGCTTTAAAAGCTAACTAAAAAGAAGAGAACAAGTTGACGAAGGAACGTAGTATTATGAAATCGGAGACATAAATACACGGCGCCTAGAATCCGCCATTTTGATTTTTTCTATATGTATACACCTTATGATACTCTCGTTACCAAGACGAATCGAACGACGTATGAATTATCAAAATCGATTAAGCCGTTTAGTAATTACGAAGGAACATAGGGTCGAAAATACATACATATATACATTCTTACATACTTATATACAGGTCAAACACATAACCCTCCTTTGAGCTTCGCCGCAATCGAGTAAATACTAAATTGTATGAAAATATTGTATCTCTTAAAAACAGCAATTTGTTAAGATTTTGGCCGACTCTGCGGCGCCGCCACCGCCGCGCCGTGCGAACGTCGCACAAAAGAAAAACAGAAGATTTAAAAATACAAAAAAGTCAATTTAAAGCTGTAGTTTATGTGTTTTCTAATTATAGGGAGTTTATAGACAAATAAGTAATATATATCAATAACATAAATGGGAAAACATTTTGTGTCTACATATTATACAAATCCATAGACTCATTTTATAAATATAGAACTTATGTCTGATGTTGTCATTTGTGAATAAACATGATTACTGCTTGTTTTACGGTGAAGAAAAATATCATGAGAAAACTTGCATGACTTAGAAAACCCAGCAAGTTTTCAATAGAAATGTGAAATTTGCCAATTCGCACTTTGCCAGCGTGGTTGCCTAAGACCTGGTCTCCCTCGCATTGAAAGGAGGTTCGTGCCCAGCAGTGGGACGTTCAATATGGCTGAATACATATATAAGGATAGCTCGTGTTATATCCTCACCTTGGCTTATCCTCGTCCCCTGAGTATAGTTCGAGTAAAAACCTCTGCGGCAGTCCGCCGTCGAAGCCCGCGACACACGACACCTCCACCGAGTCCGCCGTCTGGTTCCAAAGCGAACAGTTGCGTGGCGCGTGCGGCTTACCTGTTATATGCAAATATTTATTATAATCTATACATATAATAAAATTGTAACTGGTCACAATGTATTGTACAACAAATATTTTTTTTTAAAATCTTGTTGAAATAGCCACTATTATCGACACAGAGGCTGAATTTATATATTTATAGTTTTCAGAATATTTGTCTGCCTGGGAACGCATCATGAGAAAACTACCAGACCGATTTTGATGAAATTTGGAATAATAATAGCTGGCTACCTGGGCAATCTATAAAATATATTTTACTATGGGAAAACATCTCATGTCTGGGAAATCTATAGGTACTAAACGTTAAAACATAACGAGAGGCGAACCCGAGCGGAGCGAAGATGAATCGCTAGTATATAATAACAATAAGTAAATTAAAATATTTTTACTCTATATCAGAATACTATAAATATATATAGAATTTATTATAAGGTAATAATATCGGCCAAAATCATTGATTATTTTATCATTTAAAATTATCCTTCCTAAAATGTACGTTGTATAAAAAATAAAATTTTTATATGTTTTTTACTTTTTATTTATTCATACAATACACGTTAACGTAAGTAAAACAAAGGCCCATATACAAAATACAAAAGGCCTTATCGCCACAGATTGGTCCTGTTTCATCTTGACACACAAATATAATTATGATTTGAATTAAGTCCCTTCCATTAGTCTATAATATTATGGTTATTTGTACAAAGCATAAAGGCTCGTATTAATTATGGAACCACTAATATTAGACCTGGGGTCAGTTAGAAATATGATTTCTCACAAAATATTTTGCGACAAATTAACCTATGAATTGTAAGCTTTTTAATGAAAAGAACGAATTTTTAATGATAAAAATATTAAAAAACAATGAAGTTTATAATATACCATGAATACAAATATATTATGCTTTGCTTTGTTTTTTTTCTTTTATTTTAACATAATTTCCTAACAGTATGTCCTAAGATTAAGTAGAAGAGATAGCCTAATTAGTAATTACGCCATGTTTCTACAAAATCATTTTCTTCATTTATTTTCTACATTATATCCTAAAATTTTAGTAGGAATGGTAATAAAAAATAAGAATTATATTCTAATATAGAACAAATTGCGACATTAAATTAATTTTGTAATAAATATGGCAAGTTATTTTTATGATTATCTTATCTTATTAAATAATTAAAGTAACTATTAAAATCTCTTACCGGCGGCCACCATCTGGAAGACGCAGGGAGCGAGTTGAGCGCCGACGTCATTAGCGGCCGCGCAGGACAGCGTGCCGTAGTCGAGATCCGCCACCGGGGTGTATCTGAAGGCAGAGTCAAAACTACTTGTTATAAATAATATCGATAAATACAATATCCATATTCAAGTTAACGCTTAATGCTTATACCGTGAGCCCTAGGAGTTAGTCATGGTCCACCCCAAACGTGCGTTCACCTTTTCGTGGTGGGAGGGCTCATTAGCGTCCGGAAATCCAGCCGAGCACGAAGTCAGAAACGCACATGAAGGTGGCATACTTCGGTGGGCGGTGTACCATGTGGGTTGCACCTGGTACTTCTCTGATAGCAGAGTGGACTGTGGAGCAATCCCATGGTTGTTGGGGTCTGCTTCGGCAGATCTGCCGTTGTAACGTCGTATTTTAGTGCGGAAGCACTCCTGCGACGCCCCATTAAGACAGGGCCTTCTTGGGTTTTAGTGGGTAGTGCTGGCTTTTCGAGCCGGTAAGTACCACATAACCTCCTGTATGACTACAGGTGGTACGCGTAAATGCATTTTCCAGCATTAAAGAAAGGGGTTATGGAGAATAGAGTCTGAGCGCTAGAATCGCTACATTCTCTATTTTGCTTTATGTATTCTCATATTTGTTGTGTTATTTGCTACTTTTCTTATGTGAATTTTTGGATTAAATTAGGTTTTTAAATTTTAGCGTATAATTAGTATGTTTATGTTAGTTAAGCACTTTTACTTGATAACGTTTGAATTAATTATTATAAGAATTGCTAGGAATGTTAGTCTTAGAAAAAAAATTTTTTGAACCAAATTGTAAAAGAGATTATGTACTTATAACGTACCCAATATTTTAGTGAAGAGTAAAAGCATTCTAGATTTAGAACTACCCATCGATGGGACGCTAATGGACCGTTACTTGTTCTTTGATATTTTCGAGCCTCTTACAGAAAAAGCCGTTTAATCACCTTTTGAAATGAAAGCTGCGCTATAAACTTGATTTACGAAGCAATTTTCTCAATTTTTAAAGCATAATATACAGTTAAAAATGGGCACAATAAAAGCCAATTGGATTCGAATTTTTGACGAAAATTAGCTTAATTTTTGCATCGCAGGACGTTTTTCCTTTCCGATTGTGTAATTGACAAGCTTGAAATTCAATTCTGAATCAGTGAATAACAAACATTCACGCTGATTAAACTTTTCATTTCGACAAACTTGTTCACTTGCAAAGGATTTACATGAACGGGCTTTGCGTGGAAGCCGATTCTAACTAACACATTTTTCGTCGATATCTAAGAACCATTTTTCTCTTCAGAAACCGTAGTTTTATTAAACATTGATTTGTGAAATTTGATTTGTTTTTATTAAAAATATGTATGTAGTATATATATATATATATATATATATATATACATATATAATGCTATATACTGTTACATCTACGCGAGCGGAACCGCGTGCTCTAAGTAGAATAATATAAAAAGTTAAGACTTTAAGCGTATTGAAGCCTGAACAAAGTGTTTATGAGAGAGTATAAATAGAATAACATGAATAATAAACTTTGAGAACGACACTGTTAACGTAATCTTCAGTGACATTATTATTAAACAAGAACTTCACTAATAAAATATGTCTGTGATAGTAAAATACTTGGGATACATTATACGTATAATAAGTCTCTCCCGTTACCAATTTCTTAAAGCATTCGATACCAAAAATCAAAATAAATCTGCAAAAAATCTGAAAAGATTATTTTGTTTAAAATTTTAAATAGTCACGTAAATCTAAGAAAATTTATACTTAAAATTATGTATTTTCTTCCTGTGAAGATAATGAAACCCAAGTGACAATGTTAGTGTTTCATAAAACAAATCATAACATTTTTAATTACAGCCTCCATTATTGGCAATGTATTTATAAACATTGCAAATCTTCTTACATGTTTATTTTTAATTCAAATCAAGCAAAAGTCCAAATTTTCTATTCCAACGAACACGTTATTAAATTTCAAAATTTTGCATTAATATATTTATTCCATACTAGAACTATTATTGTAAAAGGCATTACGTTTTGACTAGTTTTCAAAATAGACTAAGGTGCTCACTGCTCAGTTCGGGTTTATTTCTGCATGTATGTTACGCGATATTTTCACCAATTAAGAATAGATTTTAGAGATTTTAATGGAAAGCTTTAAAGTCTTAAAGAATGGTCCATTAGGAATAGAAATTTTAGATTACATATTAATGTAACTTTATTAATAATTAAAAAAAATATAATAAAACATACTTAAAATATAGGTGTTCTATTATAACATACTTAAGGCTAGAGGCGCTGCCGTTGGACGTGTATCTATCTGCAGCAACGTCTAGTGTTTCTCCGGAATTGTTGAACTTCCACTTGAAAACAGCGGCAGGCGGGTCGGCGTCCACCTCACACACGATCACCACGGACTCGCCGCGCGCCGCGCCCACAACCGACACTCCACCACTCCGGCATGACGGCGCGTCTGTAACAATGATTAAATATTATTACATAACTAGGGTGCCTCTCTAGTTGCCTAGCAGGACATATTTACTACTCCAGGTCATGCCCTATGTGTGTACTAAATTTCATCTAAATCTATGAAACCGTTTATGCGTGAAGGAGTAATAAACAAACACTATCTTATAGATTATAATATATCCTAAACGGGATGAAAAGTAACTATCTCAAACACAATTGCTATATATAGTCTAACTGTGCGTGAAGTTTATCCAATTAAGTTTAGTGGTTTATCCGTAATTGAGTGACCAACAAAATAAATACAAACTTCTTCACAAACTTTCAACATTATTTATTAATTGGATTAGTATATCCGTGCCATAGTTTGCCATGTTACCTACAGTGCTCACCTTTATTTCTAATATTAATTATTTATTAAATGAACTCTTATCTATAGGGATATACTGTTCACATCATTCACCGCTTACAGGTTATTTAGATATTTGTCTATTAAAGCTTTCATAGAAAACAGCTGGCACAGAACATTTCCAATTATTTTCTAATCTGGACGCTAAAATTGGGTAACCTAAAAATTGCAAACGAGGTATACCAAGACTGAGTTCACAAAAAATATTCCAAATATCTGGTTACGTGTCAATTGTCATTTGACTTCGAGGGAGAGGGAATGAGGAGCATTATCGTATTCGGATCTCAATTTAACTATCTCTGTAATAGTCGCCACTTCCGCAGATTGAAATGGAGTCTTGCGATTGAGGTGAGCCGATAGCGAAACTATCAAGTAAATTGGAGCTGAACTCAGCCCAATGGTCACGAATATTACTGTAATAACCTTGCAAGCAGTTCTCGGCGGTTTCTTGTTTGTGCTAAAGACTTTTTTTGCGTGATTTTTTTCGCTGAGTGTGCGAAAGCTGTGTGTTAAATTGTTACGACATGCGAGGTATCGAAGTGCATTAAGCGGGACACACGCGACCTTGCGTTTGTGAATGATTACGAAACTTTATTTCTCTCCATGAAAAAGATTAATCGAAAATATACGGGAAACTGATTGACTCATCATCAAACTGGTCAACATCTAAATTGTAAGGAATGAGTTTTCCTTTTTGAGTTTTTTAAAAGTGGAATGTGGCTTAGTAAGAAAAATCTCTGGCTCTATATAAGCAATACTCGTGTGAATAAAAATATTAGTTAATAGTATGAGAACTGATTGTTGAAAACCGACTAAGATGTAGCAAATTATATTAAATTTTACTGGGCGTGAATGGTCTATATTTTATTATAAGTACATGCTTCTACTGAAGACTTCGTTAGCATTTACTGCGTGTAATGTTTCTTAGAAATAAAAGTTACTTAAAAACTTCTAAAATGTTTTAATTTATGAAATACGCTCGGGTTCGTCCCTAACCCTAGGTTGATTCCCCATGCAAACTTACATCCCAATTTTCACCCCTTTAAGGGATGATTTCCAGGATAAAAAGTATCTTATGTCCCTTCAAGGATCTCAAACTTTCTTGTTACCAAATTTCATCTACATCGGTTTAGTAGATCCAGACATTACCCCCTACAACGACACAAACTCACAATTCACAAACTTTACTTCTTTATAATATTATTTCTTTATTGATTACGAGTAATATTGACGACACGTTTGGCTAAGTTTTTAGTGACACTACTGTCTGTGCCAGCGGTCGCGATTTCGCGTTGCGCTGGTAGTATTTATTTGCGTGATGAGCACGAATGTATGTACTCCAGTCACAGGTGTTTATATTTATAATTCGTATGTATTTAAAGTTATATATGTGTAGTGTATCAACTATCTAGTATCAATAACACGAGCCTCATAGCTTACCATGGAACTAGGTGGTGCCGTCTGTTAATATCACTACATATCCCAACATACATATTACATATAGCTATAATAAGAAATAACATGTACTTAGTAAAGATTTTCTACCTTTTATTAATTGTGAACGGAAAATTAATTTATAAACTTGAGCAAACTAAAAGTGTTTGTTATTGTTTCGTATGAAAGTTAAATTGATACAAACATGAATTTAATATATATCAAACACAATAATAGAACTCGGAGTAGTTTGTGAAATTACTTAAAAGTAATACGGCTTACTTCTCCACTATACTGGCGTAACAATTCGTTTACTCTAAATTACTTCACATTGATTCCAACATTTTCTTTTGCGATTGCAATCTGCTCTAATGCCGAATTCTGCGAAAGTTGGGCGAGATGAATTGTTTGACGAGAACCAAGGTCAGTCGTGTACTCAATGAACGTACACAATGAACGAATCAGAGCAGAGATTGACGTTGAGATTGTATACGTACGAGTAGTTTCAACGGAAATTATTAATTATTTGTCAACAACTAAGTTAATAAAAAAATATCATGGAAGAGAATCTTACGTTGTTTTTACTGAACGCAAGCTTAAAATTTTTGCTGCTATTTGGTTTTCAACCGAAAAGCTAGTAAAAGATATAAAATATTTAATCTCTATAAACTCCCTTTATAATGTAGAACTTAGTTATAGTCCCTATGACCTTGTCAGAGCAGCGGTGTGTCGGGAGTTACGAGTTAGAATTGGGGCAAGGAGCAATTATGTCGTACGCATTAATAATGAAGCGGCCGCAATGCAGGGGCCGACAGTGTCGGCTACACGCACCTTCGGTTTAGTTTTACTGAATGCGGACTGCGAACACTGAACAGTATCTGACACTAATTATAGGAAGAATAATTTATATTATGTTTATATACAAAATAATGTTATGCCTTACCTTAGTTAAGAGATCAGCTCCGAAAAACACTTTTTCTTACAAACCCACACTTTCTCTTAGTTACATCGATTAATTATATATTTCTTAGTTATATATCTTTATGTATAATAAACCCCCTATATGTTTGCGAGGAGCTTACAATAATGTATTTTTTATTTTTGTGGGAATTTCTCTTATAAATATAAAGGCCTCGAGCTTACATAAAATATTAGGGAAAATAATTTTACTTTAATATTAAAGCAAAAAGTACTGTTATAATAATCTAAATTATCTAATAAAACATGTACCTACTGTGAATGCTCAATGAACGAGGAGAGGGCGGAGGTGTTCACCTGCGACGCACCCCGCCACGTCATAGAAAAAAAAGCCCAATTTATGCCTTTTATATTTCATACCTCGCTTAATCATTTCAATCTAGCGTCGTAATTGCCTATTGTTTAAGATTACGGGCAAATCCTCAAAATTACATTCACCAGGATTACACCTGCTCTTTGTTAAGATGGATTTAACAACCATAGGCGTTATTGTTGAAGTGAATGACTTGCGTGAAGTAACAACTGACAATACGGGTTCGAGTCCCAAATGATACTGAAAAATTAACAAATTAAGTACGCTACGCTACTACGAGTATAACTAAAGGTCCAAATAAAGGCAGATAAAGAATAAATTATTTTCTATTCAAACATAAAATGGAGATATTATCGTCTAGATTTTTGTCCAACGCAAATAAAATGAACTTATTTTTCAGATAATAGAACAAAAACACCCTTAGTTTTGTATAACTTTTTGTATTATGACTTCTTAATTTGTGCGAGCGATGACGGCGGCCACCATTAATTTATCCGAGCCATTGTCCACCTCTGCCTGATTGTTCCCGAGGTTAGGGCCCGACCTTGCTCCGTACTTACCAAATTTTCTCAATAACCTTGGCTATTTTGTAAGAGAAAATACCGTTTTTAATCATATTATATATACAAGAGAGAAAGTTTATTTGTTAGTTTGTCCTATTTTTATACTCCGATGACGATATCGATTGATGTTATATTAAACCAACTTCCAAGAAGAAAGTAGTTATTTACATTCTGCTTGTAATATTTTGTATGTAAGCCGATTATTAAATAATAATAATAATAATAAATATGTTGGGACATTAACACACAACACCATCTAGTTCCATGGTAAGGCGAGGCTTGTGTTATGGATACCAGATAGTTGATACACTACATATATATAACTTTAAATACATACATATTATAAATATAAACACATTCATGATTATCACACAAATTAATGCCCTCAGCGGGACTCGAACCCGCGACCGGCACAGAAAGTAGGGTCACTACAAACTGAGCCAAACGTGTCGTCAATATTATTGTAAAATCTCTCGGCCTATTTTTTCTATTTGAAACTACTCGAGCGGTCTCATATGAATAAGGCGATGCTCTGATAATAAGATCAAACTCCTTATCGCGTAGTAGTAAATTAACTGATTCTAAATTGTTGATATATGTAGTTGATGCTTTGAAAAGGCTGACCAGGATAGTTTCTAAATCCTTGAACGTATTTTTTATTATTATTTTTGATTTATAAACATCCGTTACTATGAAATCAGTAGACGAATTTGTGTGATTATATTGATGTATTCTGAAGGTAACTTCATGATTAGATTTTTTAAATATATTTTAAACAAAACTATCTTTTGGATTTATTTCGTGGATTTGTTAACATTTTTGTATTTTTTCAAATAATTTCGTTATTTTGTGAGTTAGACCTTTGAAATGTCTAAAACCTTAATCTCTTCCGTGACTATGAATGCTGCAAAGCATTCGAAACGTCGGGAACCAAAAATCACCATAAATCCGTGAAAAAATCCGAAAGGATAATTTTTATCAAATATTCGTGTAAATCTAAGAAAGTATTAATAATTTTTATCTTGATATATTAGACTATTATATATTATAATATTATATATTATTAGATATTAGACTGAACAACCCGTCAAAAAATAGTATTTTACAACAGTCACTGAAAGCTGCCTCAGAATAAAGCGAGTTCGGGTCACTGCTTTAAATATAATAACAAATTGAGCGAAGAAAATGTTACTATACAGGATATGAGTGCATCGAGCAAATGAGGACGACGTCCGAGCGCCGCGGGCCGTTATTTTGAATTTCCGAGCGGAATTGTAAATCATTATACTTGTGATGTAGCGCTCCGTGCGGCCACGACGCGGTCTGAGCGGAAAATTTGGATAGAAATACATTAGCGCGTCTCACAAACTGCTTTGTTTATCTATTACATACAAAAGAGGTAGAGGATTTTGAAAGTATTTCTTAGCATATACTTTCGTGTATATTATAAGATAAATTATGTACATGTAAGATAAAAGCTGCCCTGGAGTGGCTTAGGTGAAATTTTTCCTCATGTCGAGAAAAATGATTTAAAATTAGATGCAAAATATGTTAAGTTGTAATTGAAAAATACATTTTAGGTGTTTTTAACAACTAATTTGAAAGGCACATTTAACAAGTATTTATGTTAATATTGATTATAATGTCAAGAACTGAACATGAAAATGATTTATTCGGTAACAATATTAAATTTATAGCACAAGGTCGATAACTTCCTATTAAGTTAAAAATAACTTGCTCCAGGAGGCTTTTTAACTTAGTAGGACTTTCTCAACTTTGTACCTACTATTTTAATTTTGCTACTGAATAAATGATTTTCAGTTTTCATTTTTCAATATCAAGAACTCTATGAAAAAGCTTTTTTCTGTGTTGGTTCAAATTAAAATAATACAAAGTTTAGCAAACATCCTTTACTAATATTACGTGCAGCAAGTACGAACTAGCGAGCTTTTTTATTTCTCTCACTACATAGTAGTAGTAGTATCGGTTTCTCAGAGATGAGATATTTTCCCGCAGTAAAAAGTATCCTATATGTTGACCCGGATAACCAGCTATTACCATACCAAATTTCATCAAAATCCATCCAGTGGTTTTTCTGTGATGCGGTAACAGACAGACAGACAGACAGACAAAAATGCTAAAAACTATAGATTCGATATCTGTATCGATAATAATGTATATTTCAATAAGATTTTCCGAAAAATATCTAATGTACAGATTCGGCTTAGTTACAATTTTATTATATGTGTAGATTTACAAAAGTTTGAGGAATTCAATGCTTGTATATAAAATAAATTCTATTAGTCCTTTAAAATGATAAGATTATTTAAATTCTGAACTTTCTTTAAGATTATTCAGATGATAGTATTAGGTCTTTAGATTAGTATACGAATATGCCACTACCTCGCTGGTCTAGAGGGGCTAGCTATGTACATCCACAGATCCGGAGGTCCTGGTTTCGAGTTACAGGTCGGGCCAAGTTCAGTTATGGAGCATTTCTGTTAAGAAATTCTCAGTAACAGCCCAGAGTTTAGAAATTGGCAGTGTCATCCCCGTGCCTCGGAGACCACGTCAAGCCTGCACCTGATCTATCACCGGTCGTGTCGAGGATGGTCCCATCGAAGTATGAGAGTGAAAGGAATAAATAGTGCATTTGTATCTGCGCGCATACTTGTACACTATATTATCTCCTGCACAGTTTGCTAGTCTCATTAAAGTTGGCCGCCGTTGGCCGAAATCGAGGACATTACTATTATTATAATGAATATAAACATAAAACTTACATTTAACTCGAAAATGTAGTTCATTGGAGACGGTCTCTCCCTCGGCGTTGAGCGCGGAACACGCGTAGCGGCCGCTACTATGGCGTGTCACTTTCTGCAACACGAGGCTCTGGTTGCTGTGGAAAACGCGCGCGGTCGCGTTGTGTGCCAGCGGCCGATCCTGCGGAAAAGATCATGTTACAATAAACTGACTTCAGAACAACATTATAATAGTTTTTTTCTTGAAAACTATATGGGACTATTCTTATGCTATAAACTATTTATTGAGAAATAAAATAGGTAAATCGATAGATAATTAGCGAATATTTTATGTATACATGTAAAGAAACGTATCATAACCAAATTAAATATCATCGATTTTTAAAATCGATCCAAATAGAATTAATAATCACCAGTGTTTTCTTGTAATAGCTCTGGTGGGGAGATAGCATTTGGCATACAATCTAACTCTAGTATCAAAATACCAGGCCGTTTCCTTGCTCATATGCTGCCGGACAAACAAACAAACATATTTTCGTATTCATAATATTATTAAGAAGTAAGCACGAACGATTTATGTTATTCTCGAATTTTTTTAGTAAAAACTATCCCTAATTACACCCCATGGCCCTGTGATACATGATGTTGACAGTAAATGATGGGCTGTGGTATAAATGAGACTTCAAAGATCTTCTCATAGCAGATTTGAGTTCATTACGCGATATAGTATGTTTATATCTGTAACATGTTTGTATATAATAACAATATCGGGAGCTTATGATACATAAATGACGAAAATGAAGAATGGAAGATGGAGTCACTTTTTCCATCACCTCGTAAAGGTCTGGTCGACAAACCGCGAGACTTTTTATTATTTATTTATATTTTTATACCAACAGGTGTATTTTACTGTAGCTTTTATTATACTAATAAATTAACGAAGTAAATTGCCGCAATGAATCTCTCTTGCAACTTACTCAAGCAAATACAGGTGGCTAGTGGGGCGCTTCATAATCATAAATCCTTAGGTGTAGACTAGGCAATGCGGAGAAGTTAAAACTGGTTTACAACTACAATTGCGCCAAAATGTAGAATACAGGCTGAACTTTTTAACAGTGTATTAGGGACTAAATTTTTGAATTATATATTGAAGATGTTATGGAAATCAGATTATGGTACAGGGTGTCTGTATAGTGTATAATATATACAACATACATATATTATGCTCGTTGTCTTAAATTTGATTATTGTTGAAAGGAAACTGGACACTCACTATCTCATGATCAAAATTATAAATTGCGAATATTTTACATTCAAAAAGCTATATGAAAAAGATCTATTTAAACTAAGGTTAAAATGATATCCATATTATATTACAAGGGAAGAATTATTTTAAAACCCATCAATATAATGGTTGGAATATATAAGTATTTCTGAACACTGTCTCTAACCTTGCTCGAGCTCCACACAGAGTATTAGGCCATCACCACACCTTACAATAAAAGTGAACGACAACATAAACACAGGAGCTTTTAAAAGCGTTGAATAACGTAGCAAACGTTTGAGGGCGTTTAGGAGAATATGATTATTTGCACAAAAGGGGGATCATTACGTCTATACAAAGGGTACGGACAAAGCCTCGGCGAGGACTGATTATTTCTTGTTTCTAACAAAAGGATTTCTAATTATTAGAGTAGATAAGTGAGTTGGAGATTTAAAGCAGTTCACTGCAGGTAATAGTTGCGGGAACGCCGGGTGGGGGTTCGCGGTGATGTGTCGGGTTGGTGAATAAATATGTTGGTACATTAACACACAGCACCATCTAGTTCCATGGTAAGCTACGAGGTTTGTGTTATGGATACCAGATAGTTGATACATTACACATATATAACTTTAAATAAATACATGTAACAAATATAAACGCCCACGAATGGAGTACACACATTCGTGCTTATCGCACAAATGAATGCTCCCAGCCGGACTCGAACCCGCGACCGCTGGCACAGCAAGTAGGGTCACTACAAACTCAGCCAAAGGTGTCACCAGTAATGAATAAATTACTATCAAATCAAGTGAATCAGATTAATTATTGATATTTCATCTCTTCAAAGTTGTAATTAAAAACGAAATAATCTTTTGCGACTACAAATGTACGGTTATGGGCAGTGGTAGCGTGCTCACTCGAAATACATGTCGAGCCCACCAAACCGCACTTGGCCAATATGGTGAACTATGACCTGATCCTCGCATTCTTGAATGAGAGGGAGGAACAAGGAAAAAGAAAAAGGATGCGTTGATTATCCCACTTCATGAGACCAATTTATTACTTTATTTATATACTAGCGACTCACCCTCGCTTCGCTCAGGTTCGTTCCAGGTTCGTTCCTAGGTACATTTTAATTTGTTTGAGCGGAACTCTGATTCTTTTTCTAAAATAAAAGTAGCCTATGCAACTTCCTATAACATTATTATTTTCCAGTGAAAGTCTCGTCAAAATCAGTCCAGCTGTTTCAGACTATCCGGAACAAACAGACATATAGACACAAATAAAAAAAATGAGTTTTTCTTATAAGTACCGTATATAATTTCATATGCATTTAGTAAAACGCTGTTATTTTGACATTACAAACAGACACTTCAATTTTATTTATCTGTATAGATACACTGGCGTATACAATATAGTTTCAGTCTATCTCACTCATCGTCAGTATTCTAAGTGTAATCAAAATATAATTTTGTAGAAATGTCTTTCTTCAATTACTTTAAAATACTATCAAATTTTCAACAGCACGTCGTAACTAGTAATTTATCCTTTAGCAATTTCAAAATTAAATTTCAGGAATCCAAAATAACAACAGACCCTTCTTGTTTATTTCACGAAACAATGATGTCAAATTAGCTGGATACGTAATTCGCACTCCGCCCACTGTACGCACGTAACGGTATCACGGCTATGGGCGAGATGCGAAATTTCATTTCTCCTAATGAAGTCGGTGAACGCAAACAAAAACCGCCCGCCCAAAGATACCGGCACCAAATTAAAAGAGACATTTTAAAAGCAGGGCTTTGTATGTGGATTGTAATATACAATTTTCTCACCGCGACTATCGCAGGGCGCCGCCTCACTCGTAGTACTCTATTAATAGCGTTATCTTTACTACCTTTCATTGTTTCTTTCCTTACTTTTTTCTTTTTTCACAAGCTAGCATTATTAAGGAGATGGCTTGCTATTTATCATTGATGTACTTTCAAAATACACGCTTAGATAGTGATTACATTTATTATACATAATTAACCTTGTTTATAAATCTATATTATAATTAGTTATAAATATATGTAATATTAATATTACTATTCAATTTTTTTTTTCTTCTACCGACCTTCTCTCTCTGTAAATTGATCTCGATTAAATCATTACGTGTCTGCAATTAAACCTTTCGTTTTACACCTTAAATGTGTTAATTCAAAGACAAACCTCTTTTGTCGTTTTTGGTTACAAAAACTATTATAATAATAAGTCTGGTAGGGACGCCTACGCTGGCCAAAAGCAGGTTAGCACAGTTTACACGTCATTTAAAAACCTTTAGATTTTCTTAGACGATGTTTTATTAGGTTTCCTTCATCGTTTTAGCAATTATCCTATGTCAATTAAAAATATCAATTCAACATATCATAAAACACTGATCTGATCAATTTTATTTTCATATAAGGAAATATAAAATCGGATGAAGAAAAAATAATATGTCGTTTGGAATATTTTATAATATGGATATAATTTAGTGCTTAATTTGATAGATGAGTAAGAACATACCTATAACGTATCGGAAAATATACGTTTGTAGGAGGAATTTAATTTCATAAACATTACTGTTTGAGCGACTCAGCCTGGTTCGATGTTACAGACGTTTTAATAAGATAAGCTGCCGTTTATTGACAAACGACGTATCGACATATTATAATCGCACGGATTTGTTGTAGAAATTATTCCAAGGAAATTAATACTGTCGATTTCGATTTATTAGGAATAAATATTTTTTATACATAATATATAATATATTTATACAGAAAATATATTTATTGAAATTGTTTTTCCTTACAAGAAGATTTCAATAAAATTGTTTAAATTAATAACATTAGAATATTCGTCCATATAATATTTTGTATATTAAATTATTGGTACTCATATTTATATATTCATCGAGAAAACAAAATAATAAATATAACTGCAACATTGTTCTTGAAGGTTAATAATATTATTTGACAACGAAACAAAGAGTAAAAATATTATGAAGACTTATACCTTGTGTCAAGTTAGCAATATCCAAATCTGTAACATCTTATTATTTTAAATTATAACTTATTATAAGCTTATTCTGATACCAACATCCGCCCTAAGTATCTTTTAGACTCACTTATTGAAATAAAAATTGGAGGCGAGACCTGGCCTAGAAAAGCAAGAGACAGAAATGAGTGGAAACAGCTGGAAGAGGCCTATGTGTCACAGGACACGCTGATAAGAAAACCGGAAAATCAAACGTGTTACATTTAAGTTAGTTTTTTTACATTTATATTATTAGATTATATTTGTGTTTAGTTCTTCGGCAATAAAGGCTTAATAATAATTGAAATAAAAGCTTATGATCTACAAAGCTATGCGAAAAATCACACCCTCTTGATTTTCCATTGTCGTGTGAAGGAATTAATTTGTTACACATTAAAATTCATTCATTAATATTAATTTAAATATAAAATGAATATTATGAAGCATAATTGTCAACTGATAATCAATGGGCAAAATCTCCCTTTCACCCCTAATGAGATGTAAAGAGCCACTGCAGCCTGCCTACATGCACTTTACTTCATTGATAACGATTCACACAGGACATTAATACAGAACTCGTTAGCATACAAATAGAAATAAAACAAAGCTAGTAATGTCCAAAAACAAACAACAAAGTGGTTGAAAGTAATGTATATTTGGATAGTGAATCGAAATACACGTATATTGCGATATTTTAGATACGATCCAATTGTTATAAATAGTTGCAAACAGCATTGTGTTTATGCCTTACAACGTAGTCAGTGAACGTATCTGCTAAACCAATTTATTCCGAGCTGCTTCCTACTCTCATAGTGTAAATCTATTCGATTACGTTTTTTATTAGTGAAACTCAATTTGAC